CTCCCCAGGCAGATGAAAGGAGAGGCCTTTTAGGAAGAGCAACCACTCCCACAAAGGCAGTTAGCTGACCCGGGAGTCCACTATTTAGGAAAACATGTCCAAAGCACAGGGCGTGTTGGGGAGCAAGGTCAGACGTTAGACACTATGGAGAGGGCGTCTAGGAGGACACCACCCAGGGACCACCTCTACCAGTTCCTGAAGGATAGAGGGAGTTTTTCAGGTCAGTGAAACATGAGAGTCTGACAGAGTGCAAACATTCTGGAAATAAGTGAAGGGCTTTCCCTGAAAGGAGGGACTATGAAGCAGAGGGTAGCCGGGCCACCCGGGCCCTCTTCTTCTCAGCCTAGGCTGGCTCACCCACTCCCAGGACCTCACACTCCATCCACTTTCTAACAACTCCCAAATGCATGCTCCAGATTGAACCTCCCATCTAAGCCTAAATCCATATGTCCAGCTGCCTTCTTCAAACACTATTTGGATGTCTTAACCAAAATCTGTATCAGACGGGCCCACACTGAACTCGATATCCCCCCCCCCAAACCACCCGTCCAAAAACCTGCAAGTCTCAGCTCCTTCCTGTCTTCTCTCATTTTCCCCATTCAACCTATGCCAAGTTCCCTGCCAATTCCATGCTCCACTTCGACTAAACTGTCTGCTCCTCTCCACAGTGGCTGTGGCTCTTGCTCAGCCGGCCCCACCTCTTGCCCGGCCCTCGGCACTAACTGGGCTCTCCCCCCGCCTTCACTCCCTTCCAGCCTACTCTCGACAAGCCAGCGCTTGTCTGCAGACACAAGGCAGAATTACCTCACTCCACTCAGAACCCTAATGGCTTTCTGTCACTCTCAGGGAAAAAACCCAAATCGCAAACAGAGCCTCGCAGGCTGACCAGCTTCCCTCTGCAGCTACCCACCCTCCCCTGCTCGCTGCACGGCAGTCACACAGGGCTACCTCTCCAGGTCCCCCATGGAGCCAAGCACTTTCCCACCTCACAACCTCGGAACCTATCTTCTCTCCACGTGGAACATTCTTCAGCTCATTTGGAGTAGGCAACTCCTTTCATCCCAAAGTTCAGTCCCCCACATAAACTCTTCGTGGAGCCCTCAACTTTTCTTTTGAACCTCTCATGTTTGTGATTGCACAAAGACACAGTGACAAGGACAGTGGCCTCTGCTCTGCCACCTATTAGGACCGTGAGCCTATCTCTTAACCTCCCTGTAGAACTAATACCTGTTCCAACAACCCTATGTCGTTACTTCCTCAGGATCTGTTCTCCTACAAGGGTGAAGTAGGGACTACTGTTTGCTTGCCACTATTTTCTTAGGATTTCACATGATTCTTGGCATACAGCAGACACTCAACAACAACAAACAAAAAAATAAATGGAGGAAAGAGCATGGGTGGCTCAGTCAGTTAAGTGTCCGACTCTCAGTTTCAGTTCAGGTCATGATCTCCCAGTTCCTGAGTTCGAGCCCCAAATGGTGCTCTGCGAGAGTAGCAACGTGATAAGATGTGTTTAAAAAAAAAAAAAAAAAAAAAAAGAACTTTCTGGTAGCTGCATGGAAAAGGAAAGGAGGAGAAAGACAAAACAAGAAGCAGGGAATCAGGACTTTAAAGGGCAGAGAAGGTCTGGAACAGCAAACAAAAGCAGGAAGGGAGCTGACCAAGCCAGGAAGTAGATCTACCAAGCATCCCCAGGCACCCTGACCAATGTGGAAACCTGAATTCACAGCAGCCCCACCCAGCACAATTCTCTGCATTTTCTCAGCAGTCCAGGTGTCCAAGCAGAGAAGGTAGATCAGTAGATCAAGTATTCATCCAACAAACACTTATTCTATGCCCCCTACTATATGCTGGGCATTCTATTATTATTATGCAAAGGGAACAGAGTATACACATGGTTCCTGCCCTAGCAGAGTTAAACAAGTGAACAAGTTAAAGAAGAGCTTGTGATAAACATCCTAAAGAACATAAAGTACTGTGACAACTATCTTAAACAGGCTGCTCACCTGACGTTTAACCTGAGACATAGAGGATAAGAGGTGGTTAATCATAAAAATAAATGGGTGAAGAATATTCCCCAGTGGGAACAGAAAATACAAAGACCCTCAGTCAGGAATGAGCTCCAGGGGCACCCGGCTGGCTCAGTCGGTAGAGCATGCAACTCCTGATCTCAGGGTCCTGAGACTGAGCCCAGGTTTGGTGTAGAGATAACTAAAAAATAATAATAAAATAAATAAAGTTCCTTATTAAAAAAAAAAGGGGGGGAGGGCACCTGGCTGGCTCAGTCGGTTGAGTGTCTGCTGTTAGCACAGAGCCTGCTTCGGATCCTCAGTGGCCCTCTCTCTCTGCCCCTTCCCTGCTGGTTCTCTATCTCAAATTAAATAAATAAACTTAAAAATAAATAAATAAGCCCCAGTGTTGTAGGTTGATTGGCTCTAAAGAACAGGTGGAGAGGAGCTCAAGATGAGGCTACAACAGTCAGCAAGGCCAGATTCGGAAAAGGAGGTTTGCGCTTTAGCACAGAAGCCTCTGAGGCGCCACTGCAGTCACACTTGCTACTGGATGGAGCGTGAATCGGATGGGGCCAAAAAAAGCTGTTACAGAGCCTAGGAAGGAAGGTTTTACATGAATCTGAGCCAGGTAGAAAACAGATGAATTCAAGGGAAATTCTGGTGGTGCCACTGACAGAATTCACCGAGTTTCACTAAAACAGCTTTTAGTTCTCACCTTTTGTTGAACAGTAGTGCTATTTAGCAAGATCAGGAAGACCAAGATTAGGGCAAAAAAATCTAAAGCTCCACTTTAATGTATTAAATCTGAGATGCTTGGGGCACCTGGGTGGCTAAGTGTCTGACTCTCAGTTTCAGTTCAGGTCACGATCTCCCAGTTCCTGAGTTTGAGCCCCAAATGGTGCTCTGTGCCGACAGCACAGAGCCTGCTTGGGTTCTCTCTCCCTCTCTCTCTGCCCCTACCCTGCTCTCAAAATAAGTAAACATTAAAAAAACAAAACAAAACTGAGATGCTTCTGTGGACTGTCTAAGAGGAATGTCAAAGGTAAGCAGCTGGATGTACAAAATAAATTCAGAAAAAAAGATCTGCTGGGGGGCCAGGGAGGGCTCAGTTGGTTGAGCATCTCATGGCATAATCCCAGGGTCTTGTGACTGAGGAAAAAGTCAGGCTCCATGCTGAGTGTGGAGCCTGCCTAACATTCTTTCTCTTTCTCTTTCTCTCTCCCCCTCTGCTTTTCCCCCCACCTCGTGCTGTCTAAAAAGAAAAAAAAAAAGAAAGAAAAAAGATCTGGGATGAAGACATAAATCTGAGAGTTGTCCTCATACAGGTGATATTTAAGATCAGGGAAACAAGTGAGATTATTTAAGGGAGATACAGAAGATGGCCCAGGCCCTGCCCAGAGAAGCTAAACACTTAAGAGATTGGATAGCAAAGAAATAGTAAGCAAATAACATGGGGAGAAAAAATCAGAGCACATAAACCTGTATCCAAAAAGGAGTGGTCAGTCCAACAAATGCTGCTGAACTGAATAAGGTGACACTTCTAGCGTCCCTTGAATTTGCCAGGATAGACGTCACTGTTGATCGCAGTCCAAGTGAGCTGCAATGTGAAAGCGAAGTACAGAAATGGAGCAGACAGCACATTAACAAGGACTAGACTCGGCTGTCAAGTAAATAAAGACCAAATGCTGACGAGTAGAACATGACAGTAGCTTGAAACTGGTTTCAGAACCCAAGATAAGAAACTCTCTTTCACCGTGATCCAGCTGTCTCAAATACCCAAACACGCACATAAATTCTAGTCTATTCTGTTACATTACAGAAAAATGCTTGTCACCACCCATGAAATCCATTTCACGGCTCTGGAACAGGTAGCGACCTGTGATGACAACTCCAGGCTAATTTAATAAGGGATGACTTCCAGAGGCAGAGATGGATTTGGAAAAAAAGAAACGAGCCTGAGGACAGCGCCAGACGGACACAGACGAGGAGGCGGGGCGGGGCCGCCCAGCAGCCCCCCGCCCGCCGCCCCGCCCCGCGCCACTCCCCGGGACGGCACTCACCTCCTCTAGATATTCTCCCAGCTGGGCCGCCACGTCCACCTCCCAGTTCTTAGTGAGGTCGCGGATGGGCTGCAGTAGATGGGCGAAGCGCGCCTCCACGTCCTCCATGTCCGGAAGGGGCCGGGGCGGCCCGGGGACCGCAGGGCCGTCTTCGAGGGGAGCCAGCGTCCTCAGCCCGCCACTAGTTCTGGCGCCATTTTGCTGTTCCCGCCCAGGGTAAGGACGTAGCGCGTGACGCCACGCGCACATCTATGACGCACGCGGCCGCAGCGGGCGAGAGCGAACCCCGACGCCGCGCTGCAGGAGCGCGCCGGAAGGGCCGCAGTTGGTGCTGGAGGCGGGGTAGGCGGGGCGGGGCCGGCGGGGCGGGGCGGGGCCGGCGGGGCGGGGC